TCCTCATGCCAGCTTCTCTTTCCCAAGCGCTGAGCACAAAACAGAGACATTATGCAAGCAGGTCTGTTTTCTGAAATAATCTCCAATTGTGCACAGGTCTTGTTTATGTCTTAACGTTGCTGGCTGGCTAAAGGAATGTATTTGGCGATCCTCACTGAGACAGAATCTAGAACAAGGTTTTCAATAGCAATAGCACTTAGAGATGGATGGATGGATAGATGGATGGATAGATAGATAGGTGATAGATAGATAGATAGATAGATAGATAGATAGATAGATAGATAGATAGATAGACAGACAGACAGACAGATAGATGGTAGATAGACAGATAGATGATAGACAGACAGACAGATGATAGATAGACAGACAGGCAGATGAGAGATAGATGATAGATTGATCGGTAGGTAGGTAGGTAGGTAGGTAGATAGACAGACAGATGGTAGAGACAGACAGATGAGAGATAAATAGGTGATATAGATAGATAGATGATAGATAAATAGGTGATAGATAGATAGATAGACAGACAGACACAGATGATAGATAGATGATAGATAGATAATAGATAGATAGATAGATAGATAGATAGATAGATAGATAGATGATAGACAGACAGATAGATAAATAGAGTTTATTGTCATTTTTTACTGTGGGCACAATGGCACACATTAAAAATGAAGTTTAGTTGCTTGCTCTCAAAGTGTACATATACATAACACACATTTAAACATACTATATACCGCTTCACAGTGTTTTACAGCCCTCTCTAAGCAGTTTTGCAGAGTCAGACTATTGCCCCCAACAATCTGGGTCCACATTTTACCGACCTCGGAAGGACGGAAGGCTGAATCAACCTAGAATCAGTCAGGATCGAACTGCCGGCAGCCGACACAACAGAAGTAGCCTGCAGTACCGCATTCTAACCACTGGGCCACCAGGGCTCAGTATATGGCAGCGGTTAAACATGGAGTCAGAGAACACAGAATTATAAGGCTGGAAAGGTCCCTGGAAGTCATTGCAGTTGTTAAGTTAGGAGCTCAGTCGTTAAGCGAATCTGGCTTTCCCATTGATTTTGCTTGTCACACGGTCGCAAAAAGGAATCACATGACCCCAGGACACTGCAATGGTCATAAATATGATTGATGATATATGAATAATATATTTTAATTGGACTGAAAACTTTAAGTCTAATTTTTAAGATTTAAATTTTTAATTCTAAGCCTTTAATTAGAGTTAGAATTAAAATGTACCTAACTGGAACGGCTCTTAAGCGTTCTCCAAAGCCAAAGTTCACGTAGCACTAGTCACACTCATCCCAAAGTCATTCTTTTGTTCTTTCCGTGATGAAATGATGGATCCAAAGAGATATAAGTGCCAATTTTTTTTTTCTCCCCCTTATACAAAATGTCCTTTCAAGCATAATTATTGCCCTGACTTTGGCTTTTCTGAAGTTCCTGCAGCTGTTTTGGAGCAAAATCCACAGCTAAACAAATGAGGTAAATATAAGTCACCGATGTGCAGATTAAACTACGAAAACTAATTTCAGCTTTATGTTTATACGAAGCATTCTTTTGGCATTGTCTAACTGCAAGTACGCGGGGATTATAGCGGTGACTAAGAAGCATATTAATTTTCCCAAACCTTTTTGGGATAGAAAAAAACAAAAATTCCTCCGTGGATGAATGTTGCTTAAGGCTGATGGAAGCCTTTGAATAGAGTACGTTAATTTCTAAAAGGGTGGGGTGGAAAAATGTGAGGGTTTTTTTTTTTTTTTTTACAGTGGTATCTAACAATAGGAGATGTGTAACCATTGGAAGAGATGGGATTACAAGCCACCCCATTTAAATTGTCCTAGTTGTGCTAAATTTGTAAACTCAAAAAGGTGGTAGCCAGGCAGATGTTCTAAGATATATATAAAATAATTCGTGCTTCATAAATGTGGTTGTTGGCCATTTGGGTGTGAATAAATCCAAGGAAAAGCCTTTCTTATCCAGATCATTGGAAAACTGAATTCCTGACATACATATGGTTTCAGATATGACTGTTAATATAATACTATAATATACTACTATCCCCTCTTATTGTATCATTCTTATAATTAATATTATTCCGTTGCTTTGCACATACACTCAGAGCTGCTAAGACTTTTTGAAAAAGCAAGAAATATTTACCTAAGGAGCCATTTTAAATATACGAAAACGGTCTTCTGCCCTTGTTTTCCTTCCTAACGGATGTTGGTTTGTTTTAATTGGCTGCTGATCTACATAATTGCAATGTGGCTTATTAAAACTAGAATGACGACTGTGTGGTTTCTAGAATAAGTTATCTGTACCTTGAAAATAATTTTGGAAGATAAGATCTGTTGATGTTAAGTCCCTAAAAAAAAAAAAAATAGCCCACTAGCTTAAGATACCTGAATACGAGGCTGAAATTGGGTGAAATAAATGAAATACAATTCATAAAAAAGTCAGCCAGTATGAAAGAGTACCAATTTAAATATTACATGGAAAGCGAGAATGGGACTGAAGGATGTTGAATGATCAGCATTTTCCTATATCAACTATCTGCCATTTTTTTAGTACTGGCACTTGAAATAGCTATAAAACTGTGGTTGCTTAAACCAAGCTCACATATTAACGTATGTGAGAAAATGTTTGGAAATAGGAGTTAGTATTAGCAATGCCAACCATACACAAAATATTGTGGAAAATATGTCCCATGACCGCAGAACGTTTCAGTTTGTTGGTTCTGGACTTTGATTTACTTTTACCATTCAGAATCACAGAATAGCAGAGCTGGAAGGGACCTTGGAGGTCTTCTAGTCCAACCCCCTGCTCAAGCAGGAGACCCTGTACCATTTGAGACAAATGGTTGTCCAATCTCTTCTTGAAAACCTCCAGGGATGGAGCAGCCACAACTTCTGGAGTCAAGCCCTTCCACTGGTTAATTGTTCTCACTGTCAGGAAGTTTCTCCTTAATTCCAGGTTGCTTCTCTCCTTGATGGTTTCCATCCATTCATCTTTTCTCTTTGTTTCTGCAGGCCTTTAGAACAGGACGTCAAGGAAAAAAAGGCAGATGAGATGATAGATAGATAGATGGATACAGACAGACAGACAGACAGACATAGAGATAGAGATAGAGATGAGATACAGACAGACAAAGACAGACAGAGATAGATGGAGAGAGAGATGGATGGATGGGTAGATGGATGGAGAGATAGACAAGCAGATAGATGGATAGAAATTTTATTAAGTTAACTGACCATAGAAAATAATACCTTCAGAGAAATCCAGTAAACCATATCTATCTATCTATCTATCTATCTATCTACCTACCTACCTACCTACCTACCTACCTACCTACCTACCTACCTACCTACCTATCACCTCCTGTAAGACTTAAGAATTTGGTTTCTTTCCTTTACATTACATACGTAGTTGCTTCTCTTTACCCTTTTCTAATTGAGTGCCAGTAGATTAAAGGGGAAAAAAAATCCCGTCTGATTTATTCAAGCTTTGCTGACTTGGTTCCATTCATTTGACTACTGGGGTGGCCTTCTGGATCCCACCTTACAGATTCTTGTCAGATTCTTGGCTAAATTCCCCCATTAATTTGCCCCCAAAATATCCCCAGTCGTACCAAGATTAATAAGGCTGTTGATTCTTCTCCGCAGGAAATTTTGACCGTCCCTTACTTAATCCATGGAAGCCTTCATCTAAATTTCATCTAAAGACCGAGGTGACCACAGAGGTTTTGGCTTCGTATTCTGACTCTTTGCTGAACCTTTGCAAATGGTGCCTCTGGTTTGGCAAACTGTGGATGGAGGGCAGTTTTTGGGGGGTCGGGGGCTGTCGGTCAATCGGAGATTGAGAAATGATTCTTTTTTTTTTCGGGTTCAGCCCTCTTCAAAGTTGCAACCGAACGTGGAAAAGGCTTCAATGAATAAGATGCGTTTGAGCCAAAGCTGTTCTCAAAGTTATGTTTTTCTCATTTTTCTATTAAAGCACTGTACTTTTTTTTATTTTTTGCTCAAAGAGGGGAATAATTGGCAAAAGGGTCACTTTTCCTCCAGTGGTTTGACTGCGTCAGTTCGAATACGTCAACTGGATAGGTTGGTTAGAGAATTCCAAAGAATGCAGGCCGTTGTAAGTTTGAACGGTCACTAACTGAACTGTTGTGAGTTGAAGACTACCTGTGTTTAGAGGATTGAACAGCGTTCCAGCCGTCGGTTGTTTAATGCAGATACGCTAGCAGCCCCCAAACCCTAACCACACCTGTTCTGATTTTCGGAGCATGACTAGCCAGCGGCCCAAAGTGTAAATTGGAGCCAAGCCAGTGCTGTTTTTCTTCAAGCATCGTAGCCAAGAAAAGAATATTTTGGCTCATTAGGGCAGCCTCCCTCTTTCGAGTTAGGGCTTTTGTAGCAGGTTTTTAACAGGTTTGGAGATTTGCATAGTTACCTGGGTGCACATTTTTAGGAGCAGAGAAGCAGTAGGTGGGGATGATGAGATGGACCAGTGTAGGAAACCAAAGTCCTCTAGTTCAGGATTGTTTTTATGCTACAGTAACAGAAGCTTTGTCAGCCTGCATGGGCTTCCCTCTCTCGTTCATCTCCAGGCGAACAAGGGGAAGGGTTGTTGGAGATGGTTTTTCTGAATTATTTCCTTGCCCCGGGCTCTAACTTTCCTTCCTCCCTCCCTCCCTTCCTTCACCCTCCTCTTTCTTTCTTTCTTTCTTTCTTTCTTTCTTTCTTTCTTTCTTTCTTTCTTTCTTTCTTCTTTCTTTCTTTCTTTCTTTCCTTCCTTCCTTCCTTCCTTCCTTCCTTCTTTCTTTCTTCTCCTCCTCCTCCTCCTTACTTTCTCCTCCTCCTCCTTCTTCTTTCTTCTTTCTTTCTCCTCCTCCTCCTCCTCCTCTTCCTTCTTCCTCCCCCCCTTCTCAGGCACATCAACCTCTTATAGGACGGAAGTAGAGAAGGACAGGGATGCATCCCGGGGTCCTCTCCTGCTGAGAACCGCCTTTAGCAGCCGCCATCTCTGTCTCTGGTCCAGCATAAGAAGGCAGCCAATTTGGGGTGTGGCAGAGGGTCCGAACCCTGGCTTCCTTCCTAAGAGCCTCGCTCACTCACAAAGACTGCCGGGCTGCCCACCGATAGCCCGGCTAAGAGTCTGTCTTGAGCAATAATGGAAAAGGATTTGCCTAGATGGAAAATATTTCTGTCTGTGGAAGCAGCTGTCCGTGAGCTCATTTTCTGGAAAGGTTCCCGACAGCTTTTTCATCTTAAGGGAATTCTCTCCCTCACCCACCCCCAAATCCTGCCTGTTCCCCTGCACAGTAGCATGTTGAAGAGCCAGGAGTTCAGAAATCACCTTGCCGTGCTTTCTTTGGCACCCCGGCAGGCTCGGCTTTGGCCAAGGCTCCACGTCAAGCCATTCTGTCTTTGCGAGGGAACGCGCAGTTGATATGGCACGTTCTCCTTTTCAGAACTTCCCCTTTCTGCAAAATAAGCCTGCAGAACAGATATTCTTGTTGCAAACCCAAGTGATCAGAATAACAGAGTTGGGAGGGACCTTGAAGGTCATCTAGCCCAACCCCCTGCTCAAGCAGGAAACCCTACACCGGCGGTCCAGTCTCTTCTTTAAAACCTCCAGTGTTGGAGCATTCGCAGCTTCTGGAGGCAGGTGGTCCCACTGGTTAATTGTTAGGAGGTTTCTCCTTAGTTCTAGGTTGCTTCTCTCCTTGAGTCGTTTCCATCCGTTGTTTCTTGTCCTGCCCTCTGGTGCTTTGGAAAATAGGTTGACGCCCTCTTCTTTGGGGCAGCCCCTCAGATATTGGAACATTACTCTCTTCTGGGAAACAGACCATCATCAGTCTGCCTGAAGTATGTCTTAGTCTGGGTTTTTCAAAGAGAGTCTGATCCGCCTTGTTGTGTTCTTTAAGTGGGATCCCTCGTTTGAAGCCATTTCCATCCGCCGACATTTTAACCGTCTAAACCTCAGATCAAGGCATCTCCCTTTATGGCAGAGTAGTGGAGGAACAAACTCAGCCTTTACTTTGGAGATGAACTGGAGTTAATTGGCCCTGCGTGGGGAAGCGAATGAAAGCTTCTCAGTGTTTTGACCTCGGTGTGGTTTTCGGCCTGGAATCGTTGCCAGCGGAAAGGACCACCGACCCCCTTATTAAAAAGTGGGTGGTGTGGGCTGCAAAAACGTACGAGAATGTGGAAAAAGGGACTCGGTTAAGATCAGCTGGTAAACCACAGAGCTGTGCAAATCTGGGTGTTTCCTGTCAAAGCCACTATGTCATTTAACAGCAGTAATAAGAAATGCATGTGTATCTGGAGGAGTTGGTAAAAAAAACAATGTTTAGATGTTTTATCCTGATTTGTCTGGCCACTTCTCTCTATAGCCAAACGGTTGCAGCCTCACTCTGCATTTTGCAGACAAAAAAGAGGAGGGGGGGGGTCAAGCTATTCTCCAAAGCCCCTGAAGGCAGGACAAGAAGCAACGGATGGAAACACATCAAGGAGAGAAGCAACCTGGAACTAAGGAGAAAATTCCTGACAGTGAGGACAATTAATCAATGGAACGGCTTGGCCTCCAGAAGTTGTGGGTGATCCACCACTGGAGGTTTTTAAGAAGAGACTGGATAGCCACTTATCTGAAAGGGTATAGGGTCTCCTGCCTGAGCAGGGGGTTGGACTAGATGACCTCCAAGGTCCCTTCCAACTCTGTTCTTCTGTAGTAGCAAGAAGCTTTGAGGTTGAGGCTGGAAAGGTGGGTGTTCCTTGCCTTCCCTCTCACTTGGTATGAATTTTTGCCCTCTGTATTCCCAAGCAATGCCATTGTGTGGCACCCACCCACCCTCCCACCCATTTGAGAGAATACAGGCATTAATTATGAAAGGTTTAAAAATAGGGAGGGCAGCCAGGTTCCAGAAGAGCTGTTCCTTTCATCTCTGTGCATGGAGAAGGCACAGTTCCAATTTGGCAAAAGCATAATGCACCACCAAGAGGGGGGAAAAAAAATCCAGAAAAAGCAACAATACAGAAGGTTTTCTCAGAGCACAAATAGCTTAGGGGTGAAAGGAAATTTTACTGATGCGAGGCACACAGGAGAATGGAGAAAAGCCATCTCTCTAAATGGAGAAATTTGCCGAAGAATTAAAATTGTACTGCATAGTGATAAGGTAGAACACGATTTAAGTAGATGAAGAAGACACCGTGTCTATAGTTTATTTTCCTGTTTGCTGTGTGAAATTACTTCCTTTAGGGCTATAGATGGAGAACCCAAATCGGTTGCGTTGAAGGACATTTTATTGGTAGGAAATTGTTTTTGTTTTAACATTTATTTCAAGCACTTAGTTGTAGACTAGATACGTTCCAGAAGGATGTAAGTCCTCAACTTACAACAAGTTTGTAAGTTACAGTTGCATTGAAAATAGTGACTTGGGAATCATTTTTTCACTCTTATCACTGTTGTGGCCTCTTCATGGCAAGAAGGTCGTAAAATGGAGGAAAATTCACTTTACAATTGTCTTATGTTGTAGATCACTCCTGTTGTTTTTTTTCTCCTGGGGTTGCTGGCCTTTGGGTTTGCTTGGGATGTTTTGCAGACCTTTCTTTTACTTAAGGAGAGAGAGAGAGAGAGCTGAAATTCTCCTGTAAAAGGAAAAAAAACAACAGCAAAAAAACCCAAACCTTGGTCAGATACCAGTTCTGTAAGTCAGCAGAAGATCGGGCAAGATTTAACTTGAGCAAGTCTTGAACTTGATTGACATCTCCAAGTGAGGATGAGCTATCCGTAAGGTTTCCAGAAATGTTACTAATACTACTAAATACCAATGGCATAAATGTGGGCTGTTTAGCAGCTGTGGCTTCATCCGTTTGGGATTTTGCATTTACTGAAAGTTCCTTTTAACGACAGCTGTCTCCAGAATTGGCTACCCAGTCTTTCGTTCCCAAATTGTCGGTGGCTCAGATTACATTTTATTAGGAAGAATGGAGGTTGAAAGACAAACGGTTAACGCAGAGGGTCCTCGCTTCACAGCAGTTTGTTTTGTGACCGTTCGAAGTTGCAGTGGCACGGGGGGGGGGGAAGTGACCGTTTTTCATACTTATGACCGTTGCAGCTTCCCCATGGCCAGGGGATCAAAATCCAGACGCTTGGCAACTGGCTCATATTTATGACCATCACAGTGTCCCAGTGTCCCTTTTTGCGACCTGGCTGACAAGCAAAGTCTCTAAGGATGCCTTCAGAGGTTTTAAGAAGTGATTGGACAGCCATTCGCCCAGAATGGTGTAAGATTTCCTGCTTGAGCAGGGGGCTGGACTAGAAGACCTCCGAGGTCCCTTCCAACTCTTGTTATTCTGTTAAGTTGGTTGTAACTCTTATCGACGAATCTCTCTCTTTCATTTTAGGGATTTATCTGCTGGACTTAATCTACATTGATTCAGCCTACCCAGCTTCCGGCAGCATTATGGAGAACGAACAAAGGTCCAATCAAATGAACAACATCCTCCGAATAATTGCTGATTTGCAAGTCTCTTGTAGCTACGGTTGGTAAACCTACCTCCGCACCTGGCTTAACCAACTTAGTAAATTAGTCTCAGAGGTCTCCCTTGTGTAAAAGTTGGCCTTGAGGGTTAATGTTCTAAGACATTTCGTTTCCGCCATCTTTTATAGGTCATTCGTTTTGTTTGTCTAGGTTTGCAGATGTTCATATGTGGGTGAGTGGTGAAGGGATATGCTTTCCTTCCCATTTTATGGATAAATTCCATTGCAGATGTTGTTTATAACTTTATCAACTATATAAACTTGGTTCTAACATTATCGACTCTATCAACTGTGAAGCCCATTGGTGTAGGCTGCTGTTCTGATTTTAGGAGACCCCGTTCACTTTCTCCCAGGTTATATGCTCACCCAGCTGTGAGTTGTTTTGCTTCCCCAGAATGATGGGGAACTTAAGAGCAACAGCACTTAGACTTATCTACCGCTTCGCTGGGCTTTACAGCCCTCTCAAAGCTGTTTACAAAGTCAGCGTGTTGCCCCCCAACAATCTGGGCCCTTGTTTTACCCACCTCAGAAAGATGGAAGGCCGAGTCAACCTTAAGCCGGTCAGGATCGAACTGCTGGCAGCGGGCAGAGTTTAGGTATATAATAGATAGCGGGAACAAAAGTTTCAGCTTGTTGCTGCAAAAAAATTGCTTTTCTTCATAACAGTTTTGAGATTTATATATTGTTTTTTTTCTCTTTTTGCTATTGCAGATCACCTTCTAATGTTACCCCACGTGCAAAAATACTTGAAGTCCGTCCGGTATATTGAAGAGCTCCAGAAATTTGTGGAAGATGACAACTACAAGTAAGTACACTCCCTGCTTGCTTCACTTCGGTTGACTTCATGAGGGGGGGGGGAATACTAACTTGGCAGGGAGGGGGGAAACACTTTAAAAAAATATTTCTGGCAAGGAAATGAGAACATGAGTTTTTTTAAAATAAAACAAAAGGTGTCAGAGAACTAAGTGAAATTTCAGATGGAACTCAATTGGTAAAAGCCAACTTCATTTCCGAAACGAAACCACTAACTCCAAAATAAGATTGTTTCTAAAGGCTTGAAATAAAAACAGAGAAGCTTGCTGTTGCATTGACGCTTCATTTAGTTGAAAGAAATCTTGTCAATGAGACAGCTAGACTGTCATGATTCCGAGAGATGAAACTCTTCAAAAGAACTTTGAGGCATCATTTACTGTAAAGAATCTTTTATTCAAGTAGCATAATATCGGCACGTCATAATCGAAGCCATAAACTGAATTCCCCTCCCCTGGGCACCTAGTATCAAAGCACAATTCCCTCCTCCAATTAACCGTCATAAATCACACTCCCCAATTAGCTTGAAGCACCTCTCCAGTTCCCCAGCCCACCAATTTATCAGCTCTGGGCTCGATAACCTTGATTCTCACCCTAGGTTTAGTGTTGTTATGTCTAGCTGGACTCTCATTCACATCCCTCCCCTCTTCTAACTCTAAAAGCGAAAGGAAAAAAGATGGCTATATTTCCATCTGTTGTCAATGCAAAACATCTAATGTTAGCAGCATCGATATAGACTAGACTAGACCACAAAAAAAAAAAATCCTTTTTTTTTAAATTCACCACTAGCTGAATTTTTTGTAATCATCACATATGGTATTGTAAGTGATTCATCCTGTCTCACAGTTGTGAGCTGATTTTCATTAAGTTAACTAGAAAAGCAAAATCTGGATGGCTTTATGAGTGGGTGGCTGATGTATGTGGATGTACATGACACATTTTCACAACCATGGTAAACTTCTCCTCACTTGGAATGGAAGCTGTGGCACAAAACACTTGGGAAAAGGAAAAGGGTTCCCTCTGAATCTCAGCACAGAAACACTTTGGGGCTTGGCATTTTCTTGGAAACGAGACAGTCCTTGACATACGACTGCAGTGGAACCCCCAGTTTCTGTAGCTGAGTGGGAACAGTTGCCAAGTGACTTTTGCCCCATTTTACAACCGCTCTTGCCACTGGCTGGTGTAATCACTGCAATTATCAAGTCACACAGTTGTTAAGTTAATCTCCCTTCCCTGTTAGCTTTGCTTGTCAGAAGATCACAAAAGGGGTTCACGTGACCCACCCAGGACACTGCAACCGTTATAAGTACATGCCAGTTGCCGAGCATCTGAATTTTGATCACGTGACCCTGGGGATGCTGCAACGGTCATAAGTGGAAAAACAGGGTTGTTTTTTTTCCAGTGCTGTTGTAAATTTGAATGGATACTAAGTGAACTGTTGTAAGTCAAGGACAACCACTATGTAATTGTCCCCTAGTTTTGATCACTAGTCAAGTTATCACAGTTGTGTTCTTCTCTCACCCCCTACCCCTCCTTTTAATTCTTGGCAAGCAGCACAAAACATTGCAAAGTTTTTGCAGAATCTCTCCCCACCTTGATACTTTTCACAGCTGAAAAAAATCAAACCAAACTCAGGCCTTCCACAGTGAGGTTTGTACGGCAGAATTCTCTGCAATAGATCATGTATTCATCTGGAAGATGAAGAAAACGTAGCCTCAGATGATTTTCAGGGCAGCTTATCGTACCTGGGGGAGGAGGAAGGGCTTAAAATGGTGATTTTTATCAGCGTGCTCGGTGGCAAGGATGGGCATGTGTCCAACACGTATGTAGACTCTTCTTTCTTTGTCTTCCATCTGTTATATCAATTGCTGGGGGAAAGGAGTCTGTGGTTTTATACTCTGAAAAGCTAGACTGCAGACATTAAGAGGTTTAAATCACTTTGAGCCTGATTCGGTGAGCCTGAACTAGATAGATAGATAGATAGATAGATAGATAGATAGATAGATAGATAGATAGATAGATAGATAGATAGATAGATAGATAGATAGATAGATAGATAGATAGATAGATAGATAGATAGATAGAGATGGAAAGAGAAAGAGAGAGAGAGATGGGTGGGTGGATGGATGGATGGATGGAAAATGGATGGAAGATGGATGATAGATATGGATGGAGAGACAAGTTGAGTGCATGATACATAGATAGATAGATAGATAGATAGATAGATAGATAGATAGGAGAGATGGAGAAAGAGAGAGAGAGAGAGAGATTATTTTGCTTTCTCTTCCTTTCTCCTCCAACTATTCCCTTCTTAAAGCACATTTTTTTTATTTTTCTAGTTTTTTTTAAATCTAACTTCTCATTTGTTTGCTTATTTGAGACTATCGATTTATCTGTCGGTTGTATTGGCTTGCCATGTTATTGTGGGTGGCGTGCAGGGTCTTACCTGTTGTTAACTTTGCAAGGATTGTGTTGGGGTTTTTTTCGTCACGAAGCTTTGTAGGCCATGGAAGCCTTCTTGAGGCCATAGTGAAATGTGTATAATTGCAGCCGGTGTGAGTCTGTGCTTTTTGTGTTGAGGTCCCTAGGCTGGATGCCAGAAGCCACATTGCTTAATTTAATTCTTGGACCGGATTCCACATTCATGTGCGATGTTAAGATTATATATACAGTAGTTTTTCATTAGCTTGGATATTCTGCGTGGAACAGATCATAACAAAGGGGGTTCTCTAAATATTTAGGGCCATGACATAATTCTTGGAAATGAGACAGAACATGAGTAATTTTTTTTTTCTCTCTCTCAGAAACACATTTTAAGCCCTGCAGAGGCAATTGCTAGCAACAGTGAGCCCTGTTTACATGTATTTTCCTAGAGGTCACCCAGCAGTCTTCCTTTTGATCTGAAAGTCCACGTCTTGATTAAATGTGTGCTGATTTTTTTATATACATATATATATTTTAAGCAAGATAGAAAACCGTACATAGGCTCTTAGGAAGTACACGGGAAAGTTTTACAAAACAAAAAAGAGAAAAAAGATAATTTGTCTTGTTTTAACTGCAGGTAGTCCTCCAATGTCGGAGCACCCACAATTTCTGGTGGCAAGCTGTTCCACTGGCTAATTGTCCTCACAGTTAGGGAGTTTCTCCTTAATTCCAGGTTGCTTCTCTCCCGGATGAGTTTCCATCCATTGCTTCTTGTCTTTTTTTGACTACCTTCTCATCGCCAACACTGTGCAAGATAGACAGGTGATCTTTGGCCTACGACCACAGATGAGATATGCGCAGATGAGGCTTCAGTAAAGAGTTTGCAGTTTATCATTATTTGCAGAAATCTGACTTGATTTCTAAGACTGGCTTATATACTAAATGTAGCTGTTCTGTTTGAGAAGCTTCATTTTCTCTCTTTCCACCTTAACTGCCCCCTGAACATCTGCAGAACCAATTATCCAGTCCTGCCTATGTAAGCATTGCCTTTTTTTTAATTTTTTTTTTTTTTTTTTTGCAATTGTGCTGATCTTGGACCAACCACTTCTTTCTTTCCATTGCTTCCATCTTCAGATTCCCAGTTGGATTCCTTTCTTCCCAGCTCTCTAAGATTACCAAGACTCCTTTCCCAAACTAACAATTTCCCTTTGGCGAAGGGCAGAGGTCCACCTCCTCCTTGCAGACCATTTTCACAGCAGTCTAGCACTATCTCAGGTTTCCCACAAGCAAAAGTTGTAATTTTTTTTATTTAATATATATTATATATATATATATATATATATATATATATATATATATATATATATATATATATATATATATATATATATATATATATATATATATTGTTATAATTATGGCTTCGTGGTGCATTCGAGATAACCCAGATGGTTTTGTGTCTAAGGAAGGACTGGAACTCAGCGTCTCCTGGTGAATGGCCCAAACTCACCCAGCCAGCTTTTACACCTAAGGCAGGACTAGAACTCACCATCTCCTGGTGATTGGCCCAGAATCCCCCAGTTGGCTTTCATGGCTAAAGCAGGACTAGAACTCACCGTCTCCTGGTTTCTAACCTGATGCCTTAATCACTAGGCATTGAAATAGGCGGGATGTTTTCTGGTCCTCACAGCTGAGCTGAGATGAATATTTATGACGGTCGCAGTGTCCTGGGGGGGTGTCACGTGATCCCCTTTTGGGACCCCCTGACAAGCAAAGCCAATGGGGAAGTCAGCTTCACTTAACAACCGGGTTACTAACTTAACAACGATGGAAAGACAGGTGTTAAAATGGGGCAACACTCTCTTAACAACTGCCTTGCTTAGCCATGGAAGCTTGGGGGGGGGGGTCAGCTGTGATCGTAAAGTGAGGACTGTTTGAGGTGAGGGAGACCAGAAGGTGAGGATCAATTACAGACTGGTAAAATTGCCAAACGGTTATTAAACTTTATGGAAAAAGTTGTTGGATTAATTTCAGGTTGCCCAAATAAAAATTACTTCACGCTGAGTATTAATTTCATCTGAAAGGGGGTATTTGCCTCGTACGTGTGTGAGTCACGCCATGTAACTTTTATTTGGTTTGACTGAAATGTCAAACTTACTTTTATTTGAACTCAAGGCAGAGTGTATTTTCCCTCTTATGGTTTAAAAACATTCAACTTGAAAAGAGGTTGTTAAAAGAAAGTCAATCACGGGAGGTGATTTAAAAATACACTCTGATTTCCAAAGCATTATTCATTCCTTCTCTCTCTCTCTCTTTCCTCTCTCTTTTCTTTCTCTCTCTCTCTCTTTCTTTCTCTATCTCTTCTTTCTCCCTCTTTCTTTCTCTTTCTCTCCTTTCTGTCTCTCTTTCTCTTTTTTCTCTTCTTTCTCTCTTTCTCTTCTCTCTTTTCTTTTTCTCTCTTCTGTCTCTTTTTTCTCTTTCTCTCTTCTCTTTTCTTTCTCTCTTTCTCTTTTCTTTCTCTCTTTCTCTCTCTTGCCTTCCTTCCTGTTTGAGAGGAATGATAAGAATTTATCAGTTCAAACCTCAGCAAATGTGATGTACTTTATTTAAAGCACACATCGCAGGCGGAGAATCTGTGTGCCAAAATCTGGTGTGCCATTCTGCTCCATCATGGCAGCTGTCTGGAACAATATTTCATTTCCTTAGTTCTGCAAGTTCAAATGAGTCGAGCCAAATCAAAAACCAGTTTTCTCCATAGGATATTTATTTTTAAAGAGGGTGTGAAGTATGTCCTAAAGCTTTTAAGTTCCATAGGATTTTCTTTTTATGGATCTAAGCTTTGGGTATGCAGTTGCCAAAACAGAACAAAATAAAAAATGTGGAACGAAAGCAGACAAACGTTTATGGCTGCGAGTCCCTTTAAACCAGATGAACATTTTTTTCAGTTTGTTGGTCTTTTTCCCCCCCAGAAAATGTTGCAGCAGAAATCAAAATGAATGTTTGGCACACTTTGAAGTTTCAGTGTCTTTGTTGTGGCTTCTACTCTGGCCAATATATGAGCGATTGTGTGCAATGAATGTATATATATTTTAAAAAAGGAAAAAGGCGATCGTTTGTAAATTCCTTAAATTTCAGGTAGCACCTTGAAACAGCACACAGCAGCCAAGAATGTGTTCCCGTAAGAGGCCAGAGAGTCGATCTGTAAAATCTTTTCTGTGAAGAAAAATCATGGGTTTTTTGGGGAAGGATAAATACAAGTCTGGAGTAGAATAGGATAGAAAATATTCCAAAACCAAATGAGGTTAAAAGAGGCCTGCGTAACAATTGACTAACCATCACTGGCATTAGGGGAAATTTATCCTTTGAGGTTGCAGATTAAAACATTAATGTGAGCCAGCATGAAGACACTTGCCTGTATTTAGGATTCGTACGTTTTAAATGCTGAAACTGATCGGCCTAAGAACGGCCTTCCTTGCGTGCCTTGCTGCTTGTTAAAATGGCTTTGTAAATAAAGATAAGTTACTCTGTGACCTTGCGAAAACTCTGCTTAGCTTCACAGGACGAAGCTGTCCATAACTTCAGTAAAAATCTATTGTGCCCAAAGAATTCCTGAACACATCCAGGCTAAGCTAGATTTCCTGCTTTTCAGCGATAACGCGCGAGAGATAAGACGCCTGTCCCGTTGGCCTTCGCTTCAGCCAGCCGCTGACTTTTCACATCGTTTTTCTGTTTTTCCAGATTGTCCCTAAGAATTGAGCCAGGAAACAGCTCCCCACGGCTGGTCTCCTCAAAAGAAGACCTGGCAGGTGAGTTTCCAGACATCGCCCTGCTCTGCCGTCCAGTTTCACAAACATCCTTCCATTGCCTGGAATCCTTCATTGGGGTTTTCTGCTTTGCAATCACCATTGTGGTTTTTTTTTCCTACCAAACCATCCAGATGTCTGCTTGGCATCTCAACCACACTTCAGCTGGCTTACCGGTTTTCCTCAACTCATTTGGTGACTGTTCAGGGTTACAATGGCACTGGAAAAAAATAACTTTGGACCCGTTTTTCCACACTTAATGACCAGTTGCAACATCCCTGTGGTCGCACCATCAACATTCAGATGCTTGGCAACTGTTTCATATTTATGACAGTTGCATTGTCCCAGAGTCATGTGATTTTGGAAGATGGATGGATGGATGATAGATGGATGGATGGTTTCCACAGATCTTTAGAACAAGACCTCAAGAAAACAGCAGGTGAAGAAAGAAAAAGAAAGAAAAAAAGAAAGAAAGGAAGGAAGGAAGAAAGGCAGATGATAGAGATAGATAGATAGATAGATAGATAGATAGATAGATAGATAGATAGATAGATAGATAGATAGATAGATATGGATGGATGGATGGATGGATGGATGGATGGCTTCCACAGGCCTTTAGAACAGGACTTCAAGAAAATGGCAGATGATGGATAGATGGATGGATGGATGGATGGATGGATAGATATAGGTTTATAGATTCTGAAAAAGAATAGGTTCCCTGATTCAAATATGTTTAAAATTGTATTCTTTGACGATGAACAAGCCAGCAGTTAGAAAAACAGAGGTTCTGCCAACAGGCTTATCTTTAAAACGACACAGCAGGAAAAGGGGATAGGAAAGTGTGGGGGGGGGGGTTGGAGGAAACCCCAGGAAGCTTAGTCACCTTTTTGAAAATCCTAGGCAGTCAGAATAATATATGCACAACTCTTCAGGGATTTCTGCTCCTGGTGAAGGTCCTTTTGCGGAGGGGGATAAGTATAAATCAGACCTTGACTCTCCCCCCAACCACCTATTTCTCTCAAGTACAGCTGTGTAGACACACGCACGCACGCCACACTGAAATGTGTTACAGTCCCGAAGGTTTCTGAGACCCTGGGCTCAACCAGAAAAGGTTTGGCACTGATGTGAATTTTGCAAGCCAAGCCTGCCTCCTTCCTGGCCCACTGACCACGTTGAAATAATCCTGGGTGGTATTCCTCCAGTGCTTCTTTCTTAGGCTGATTTCTCTGTAGCCCACTGACCTGGCCTGGCTGCTCTTTAGCCATGGCTACATAAAAGAGCGTAATCCTGGGGCTTAAAAACCAGTTCTTTCACCTCCAGACTGCGTGGGGCATATACGTCCCCCAGAATGTGTAAAACGAATCGATCTGGATCTGGCATTCCAGCAAATATTCAAGGGATTCCTTTGATGCTGCCCCATGGAAAAATCAATGTTGGTTTGGCCTGCTGCCTAAAACTAGGCCTGCCAAGATGCCAACGCTGATCCCTGGTTAGTTTCTTCCATCAATGTAATCGAGCAAAAGCTAGCTAATCTTCGTCGCTTTTTTCTTTCTCAATATTGTCCATTCTGCAGGTTTGCTCCTAAGCAAGTGTTCTTACTCTAGACTTCATATAAATTACCCCCCCCCCGTCGTCTAAATTGTGATTTAAATTGCGTAGCTGTGTAGTATCCTGCTTCTGTACGTGTGGCAGACCCAACGTGACGTACTCTTGAGGAGTTCCTGATTTTGTCCTCGTTCAGAAGCTTCACGTGGAACGGGAGAAACCTGTGTAAATATGTCTCTGAAGCAGACTAAACAAACTAGAACGTGCAAACTGATACGGTAGTCATGATTCCGAAGGCATTTTTTTTCTCCCTGGGTCAGTTTTGCCACGTTGACAGAAAAAGAGCTATTTCCAAAGGCTGGCGCAATGCTGGATGCTTTGAGATTTAAGAGGCCGTTTATATGATTTGCTCGTAGCTGAGTAGAAATATTTGGAATATGTTCCTTGCAAGAAGAGATTGCTGATTTTAGGAAGCAATTTTGCCTTGCTACAGTGGTTTCCCCCCCATTTTTTCCCCTGTATTGCTGGAGCTATTACTTCAAAGTAATGTTATTTTAGAGTTAGTGGTGGCAGTTTTGTTGATGTTGTTGTATGTTTCATAGACACTTCAATTCAATTAACCAATGCAACGACTTGCCTTCAGAAGTTGTGGGTGCTTCATCGCTGGAGGTTTGAAAGAAAAGACTAAGTCTCCTGCTTGAGCAGGGGGTTGGACTAGAAGACCTCCAAGACCCCTTTGAATTCTGATTAATTGGTTGGTTGATTGAAATGTCTTCTCGTGTTAAATGGATTTATATCCATGTCTTGAGTAAACAAAAGTGATTCTTAAATCTCTATTTTTCTAAAAAAAATGTATCTCATCAATATTATGGAAATAATATGTTTCAGTTGGAAACTTGTAAAATGTAACATTACAATAGGAAGTCCCCGTCCACTGTAGGAGGGTTTGAAACATACACATTTTCTATTTATGCATGGCTTAATACAGGAGTGCAAAATTTGCAAATCTGTTTTCCCGTGTCGTTAAGAGTTTTCTTAGTTAAAGAAACGTCAAAAAAGCCATAATCATTTTGGGAATACAATGGTTTTTGCAAATATAATTATCCCTCAAATAGAAAGCCCTAACAAGTACCGTGACCTTTAATTTTTATACATAAATGGAAAAATATGTTCTGCTCTCCCTCTTAAATTGAATTCAGGAACAGCGAGCTATAATTCCAGGAGCAATTGGTTTTGTAACTTAGGTTCCATTCCGGGGGAGGGGGGACAGTAAAATACAAAATTCTTGATATTAAAAATATATCACTCTGCCAAAGGCCCCCAACTCTGGTAACTATCTTCAACCGAAACCAGTATCCAGTTCACTAAATATGATCTGGCTGGAAGTATCTCCAAGTACCCAATGCTTTTGTGAGGTCTGATGGGAACTGTTTTTCCCTCTGCCAATTCTGCCTTTGACATGTTGGAGAAGACCTGCTGTTTGTCGGCAAGTTCTTCATAAATCAGTCTAGAAGACGAGGAAGAAAGGATACCATAATTTTCTTTTCAAGCAGCATAATTTGTATTAGCGATGGCTGAGATTTTTTTTCCCCATCATCCCCATCGTGCTAACTACTAATAGAAGTCAGATAACTTGAGGGTCATTTAGAGCCCCAGAAGTTTGAAGCCCATGGGAGAAGGTATATGCGGACCTTATTTAAACTATTTCAACTGTTCACGTTTTCCAGTCAGTTGCCTGTAAAGAAGGAAGCCATCTGGGCTGAGTCTCAAAAATGGCCAGGATGAGTTTCTGTAACCAGCAAACGGGTGTTTGGGAACACATACTTCAGCCATGCTTTCTTTCCCCTGAAAATATTTCACATCCTAATTTAAACCAGAGCAGAAATTGTATAAGATCTTACCCGCTGGATGTCTTTTGATTTAGAGGAGAGTTAAAAGACTTGGCCTCACAGCTAACACTTCATTATTATTATTTTCCTGGGTAGGACACAAGAACTGAAACAATGTGGATTGTAGATACGCACATCAGTGTAATTCTCGTTGAGGTTCGGAAAATAAGCAGTGCAAATAAGAGGTCATCTCAGGGCTGTGAGTTGAATTCCTGGTCGAGGAATTGAAATCTATAGAATGTCAACCGGTTTGCCATGTCTGGTGAATCCCAAAATGGCAAAACCAGACTTTTGGCGCCCGTCTCTTGGTGGCCAATAAAAGATCTAAACTCACTGTACCTTAAAACAATTTCACTCCTCCTCCTCCATGTTGTAAAGGAGTGGGGTTTGTGGAGATGATGAGAAGAAGGAGGAGGAGAAGGACTAATGGGTCCGGAGTGCTCTTTGAGCTTGGTTGTTTTATTGCAGACGTTTCATTACCAAACCAGGTAACATCATCAGTGCTGGAAAGGAGAGGGGTTTGTGGAATGGAGGAAGGAGAAGGAGAAAAGGACACAAAATGTACCTGGATAGCAGCATTTGCATGAGTTTTGCAGCCAATGGAATAATCATAAACAAGTTTTTAGCCTTTAAGATATCTCAGAAGAAAAGTTGTCTTTATAGATAAAAAGATAAATAAATCTGCATCCTAAGTGAAATAAATTGGACAGCCCTTTGTCCTGGAATGGTATAAAGTCTTGAGCAGGAGGTTGTGCTGGATGACCTCCAAGATCCCTTCCAACAGTTATTCTGTATTCTGTTACTTTTTTCCCCCCCAAAGGTGCAGGCAGGTCTGCAGCCATAAATACATTCTTGTGTTTCCTGGTTCTCTCGAGCGAAACAGTGTGAAACCACACCACTGTTGTGGCCCCATAACATGACAAGAAAAAGCTTCTTCCCATTGTCCCTTTGTTGACAATCAAATTCTTCTCGTTGGAAAGTTGAGTGTTGCAATGAGATGGATGTTGGCCTCGGTATGTCTGGCTCTGGAATTAGTTCCAAAGTTCAAACTAAATCAGAAGTGGCTGGTTTTTTTGTTTTGTTTTGTTTTTTTGTCTCTGGTTTTTGTTTTTCAAGGAATCGGGGAAGAATCTTTTTCAAAAGAGACAACAAGTCTCTTTTGGCCAGTTGGGGTATTTACTATCCTGATGACGCAAGCTGGATGGAACTTCCTCCACTTTGGACTGAAAGGAAAGCACCCTTTTTCCGTGCAAACAATTAGTCTGACATTTAAGTCTGCCGTTTACTTTAGAGGTAGTCATGGTTACTGATAAATAGCTTTGTTCTGGGAATTTTAGTGGCCAATTCTTGACTGAAAGCCAGAATTGTCTCATTCTCTCTTCACATCCTTGATAGCTTCTTCTCAACTCATTCTCAAAACTCTACCACAGATTTTTCTTCTCCTCTTCCAGGACGCGATAGAATAATAAATGGCTTTTGTCATTCTGTCTGGTTTTCTAATCCTGTCCCTTGCAGGTGCCAAAAGCTTATATGTCGACTTACCTTGGTTTTAACTCTGCTCACAAATGGCTGCGAAAGCCGATAGTTGCAGAACTGAAGGGCCTCATCCTCTATAAGTGAATCAGCTCCCGTCTGAAAGTCTTTTTGTTTCATTCTGAAATCATTCTTGAACTGTGCAGTGCTCTCCGAGCTTGGCTGACCGCTTGCAGACGTTTCATTACCCAACTGGTAGCATCCTCAGTGCTAGAAGGGAGTGGGGTTTGTGAAGTAGAGGAGAAGGAGGAGGGAGGAGGGAGGAGGAAGAGGAGGAGGAGGAGGGCAAATTTGACATCCTTGATGCTCTCTGAGATTGTTTTCTTGCCGAAGTTTCGTGACCCAACTAGGTAATGTCATCAGTGCTAGAAGGGTGTGTGTGTTCTCTTGGTAGTTCCTTGATAGGGTTAAAGGAACTTGTTAGGAAGAACAAGGCACCAAAACCTAGAACAAACTGAATGGAGCAGAAGACTTGAAATTGTGGAGTCCTTGGTGCTCTCCAAGCTTGTTGTCTTCTTGCAGACATTTCGTGACCCAGCTAGGTGACATCATCAGTGTTAGAAGGGGGTAGGTTTTGCTCGCTGTTTATACACAAGTGACTTGCCCTGTTAGTTTAGGTTGGAATTCTTTTGGGGGCATTGTTTATTGCTTGATTGTTGGTCTAGTATTAATCCTGGTGTTAATCTCTGCTTAGCAATTTCCTTGTAATCTTCTGTTTCATTTTAAACCTATTGAATTCATACTTTTCATGCTTTGGCGTTCTGCTAAAGAATTAGGCTTTGTTAAAAGCCCCTGAATGATTATTTCATGGGGAAATTATGCAAAGGAAAGTAACCAAAAGGATCCTTTGGGATAGTCAGACTTCATGGTCAGCTTTTCCAAAGTGCAGCCATCAGCTTTTTTGGGTTCCTTTCAAGTCCCCCAATATAAACCCTTCGTAATAATGTTTTGCCTTCTCTGCATTATTTTTTTTTTTCACATTTACGTCAGCGCTGTCCTTACAGTAACACGGAGGGCTAACGAAAAGCAAACTGCCTTTTTTCTATATGTAAAAATGATTAAAAAATCATGTATTCGCAGTAATAATGTCTCCTAGAAGAAGACAGAGTGGGGAAAACTATTCCTAGTTTATGCAAAGTATTTTTTTCCTCCCTGTTCAAACGAAATGGTTCCCAGAACAATTTACATACAATGTAAATTGGGACAAAAGGGATGAAAGAACAAAAGAAAATATAATCCTCATTGTTTAATGGAGACAGGGCATCCTATGATGAGCAAGTAGAAAGGAGGGAAAAAAGTCTTTGGCTTGGGTGGAGTCCTGGCTGCTGTCTCCTTGCTAGTTTTCTTGCAGACGTTTCATTACCCAATTAGGGAACATCATCAGTTATTTTTACAAATAATTCCAGGTGGTGAACTTATCCAATACATCTTCCACCTCCTATTTTTCCTACACTAAAAACCCCATGAGGTGGGTTGGGGCTGAGAGAGAGGGACTATCCCAAAGTCACTCAGTTGACTTTCATGGCTAAGGCAGGACTAGAACTCACCGTCTCCTGGCGATTGGCCCAAAGTCACCCAGCTGGCTTTCATGCCTAGGGCGAGATTAGAACTCACCGTCTCCAGCTTTCTGTCCTGGTGTCTTAACCCCTAGACCAAACTAGGTCTCCCAAGAATTGCGCAAGAATCTTCATTAATCCCTGGCTCACGCTTGGTCTGCAGGGAGTGGGCTGAATCGAATCAAAGCAAAGAAATTCATTTCCCAAACTTGAAGAAAATACTTCTATTGCAAGGGGGAAAAAAAACCCATTTCCAATACGTCCTTCGGGTTACACCCCGATCGAGGGAAAAAACCAGAGCTGCATATTTTGGAAACATATGTGACCTTCCCAGGAGCTACCTCATGCCAAAGTGACTCACGCATTGTCTTAAATGCTTATTGTGAACCGGGATCCACCGCTCCTTTGATCACATCCACCCACGTGTGCACGAAGGAAGGACTAAAACCGTAGGAGAGCACAGGTCTGTTCGTCTGGTTTCCCCAGGATCTGCAGAACGAGAGATGCCCCCAGTTTTGTCTCTTGCTTTTCTCTAGAACCAGCTCTGCCTCTCCCTTCCGAGGGATCTCCTGTTTAGCTTCAGCGTTGATTAAGTCCTACAGATGCGATGGTTCGCTTGGCGGGAGCCACTGAGCTAACTGAAGCAGAAAGTTATGAGGAATAAAAAATGGAAAATATGCTTTCAACAGAAGCCCGTTCCTTCGTTCCCTATTACTATAAACTCAAAACGAAGGCTGGGCTTTTGGCTTCCAACACATAATATAATATATTTTTCCTCAACGGGAAGCTAGAAGCTTTCCAATAGATCCCTTATTCTGCACTAAATGAATTGTTGTTCTGAGTAAAGCTGCTTTCTGCAATTGACTGATGGAGATTTTGTCAATGACGATGGCGCAAATACTGCATCATTGGTTGTTTTTAATGTTTTATTGGCATTTAATGCTTGTAAGCCACCCAGAATCACCTCTAGGCAAGATGGGCAGCAAGTAAGTTCTAATACATAGATAAATTAAATCAGCCAAAGTTGAGACCAGGACTTTCTCCTAAAAGGAAACAAACACCAGCAAGAATTTGAGGAGCCAAATGAGTTTTTGTCAGTATTTCAATTGGCAGGTTGTCACATGAGCCAAGCCAAGTTCCAGCATTTCGCACACAGTGGGAAACATGAAGTATAATTCTCAGGAATTTAGATCAAACTGCATTTCAAACTCTTGTGCCTGTATAGACAGCTGCACCCATTGAGTGAACGGGTCAGTATGTTGGCCCCTGAATAAGTTGGCTTCAGCAGAGATAATCTTCAGCGGAAGATTCAAAACAACACCTAAATATTTAAAAATCCTCTGTCTCTCTGAGCTGGATGCCATTAATTTTCTAATTGCGAAGGCAGTTAAACATGCCGCTTGGTAAACAAAACTACTCTTATTTCATTGCGATTCATTTTCTTTGGAAAAAAATGCTAAGGGTTGTGAGGCTCCATCAAAAGCTGGACTGTAACAGGCCGAGAATAACAGTGGGATGGGATTTGAATTTGATGTCTAGCGTCGGATAATAAAACTCACATTTAGAAAGGTGAAAATAATAATAATAAAAAAATGAATAAATAGGGGCAAAGATGTACCCCTGACTCTCTGTAAAATGGAAATTGAAGCAGAATATCTTCCAGTGGTGATACATGTCTTCCTCACTTATGTGCTTACATGAAGCAGTATGATTAAACAACATTAACCATGATTTCTGGCTACATTGTAGATCTCTGTGTAGTATGTTAGTTTCTCCCTAGTTTCAATGTGATAGTGTTATTTTGTGTCTATGGTCCAGCCTGCATGCTGGCTACAACATGTCGCCTATTGGCACTGAAACCATTCTTCAATTTCCAGAATTGTCATCTGTCTGGCTCCAATTCCTAGAAAACCTCTTCTCGCTTCTCCCAAGAAGCTGATGCTATGAATGGTTGACTAGCCAGTCGGCTTGCAAATAAACTCAAAGCATATGTGGTTATTTTTTGGTTTAACAGTGATGATGGTTACACCTGAAACCCTGCTCTGTCCGGCCTTGACATAGTTTTTCTTTTCCATTTATTTTTATGTATTTTGGGGGGTAGGCTATTGCTTTCCAAGTGATGTGTAATGTAGCTTTTCAAGATTGCCGGAAATGGTCTAGGGTTTCCTGCTTGAGCAGGGGGTTGGACTGGAAGACCTCAAAGGTCCCTTCCAACTCTGTTGTGCTGTAGATATCCCAGGAATAAGAGACAGCATCGTTCTGGTGGCAGGAAGCAGCGTGAGAACATCTTGGCCAACTGTCAATCTCCTGGCCCATTCTTGAAACTAAGGCCTTCTTGTAGTTCCCTGCCTGTAAGGTTTAAGAAAGCAGAGCCTGTCATAAATAGTTAAAAGTCAGCAACTTTATTCTGCCCGTGTTACAAGAATCTTACCAGACTGGTTGCCTTCCCTGGGAACAACCAGATAAGGCTTCATGGATCTTTAAGGAAGTCAAGCTTCTGCCGTTTGCAGCTGCCTGATGATTCCAAGCTAGGTCCCCATTTGACTCCTTCCAGTTTCCCAATGCCGCCTGCCCTTGTTCTCCGTATCATCTTGATCCATCTCCGGAGAACTTTCCGCTTTCCTGAGAAGAAAGCCACGGGCCCCTAGCGACACGGGCTTCCTGATACTTAGTTTAGCATTAATTGGTGTCTATTTTGTAGGTCCATCCGAAGTGTCAGCAGCTGTGAGGTTCAGCAGGAGGCCCACCTGTCCTGACGCCTCGGTAGCGGCCGGCTTGCACACTCCTCCTGTCCCACGACACAGGAAGAGTCACAGCCTCGGAAACAAGTGGGTGTTGCAGTCTGCATTGGAACAACACAGCTTAGTTAGGTCTTTTTAAGGCAGCCCTTGAAAACTTGCTGCAACCAGCTATCTCCTCCTTAGGAAGCCGTTGCCTTTCTCTAAAGACAGTCCTCAATTTACAACAGTTCCTTTCGGTGACCATTCAGCACTGAATTAGTGACTTTTCACGCTTTCGATCGTGTGATCAAAATTCTGACGTGTGGCAACTGCCATGTATTTATGACGGTTGCAGCGTCCTGGGGTTCACTTTTGCGACCTTCTGACAAGCAGACACTTGCAGTGACACAACACCTGCATTGATTCACTTAACTGTGACAAGAAAGGTCGTAAAACAGGGCAAAACTCACTGAACAAAGGTCTCACTCAACGATAGAAATTTCGGCCTCCGTTGTCGTAAGCTGAGGACTGCCTGTAGTTACTTGGCAAGCTTCTTGTTCCTAGGAACACATTTGTCTTAGAATCCCCTTGCAGATGTAGTGCCACTTTCCCGGGGAAACTGGGCAGACGCCAGAAAGAACCTTAATTGTCTTTACCACCCAAGTCAACCATGGTTCTCCCTACCTTACAGGCGCCATGTTGCCCTAAAAGATGTCAGCCTTCCAGTTAGGAATTTATGCTTCCAGCTTAGGGAGATGTGTGGCTTTCCCAGTGTGGTTGAGTGATTTCACTCAGATATGAATTCAGGTGGCGGAGTCTTGCAACCTGCACCTCTGTAGAAGCTTGAAAAGTGGCCAACATCTGGAGCTTGGGTGGAGGATGAGGTTGGAGATTTGTTTTCCCAGCTTATGGGTTGGTTTCTGAACGTTTTGTGACCAGGCTAGGTTGACCTCTTCAGCGGAGTTTAGGGGATTCCAACCCACAAGCTCGGAGAACGCAACTTTGCCCTCATTTGTAGAAGTGTTAGAATTTCCATCCCTGGAAGGTGTTCAAGAAGAGATTGGACAACTTTGTCCAAGAATGGTAGGGGGGTCTCCTGCTTGAGCTGGAGGTTGGGTTAGAAGACCTCCAAGATCCCTTCCATTATTCTGCTAGGTAAAGGCCAAAATCTCCATCTAGATTTGACTAATGTGTGCTAAAAACCAATGTTGGGGGCGATAGATCATTAGAATGAAGTTCTAAGAGGGACAGGAGAGTCCATCGGGCTACTTTGCCCTAAGAAAGGGGTCGGCAATCTTGGCTCTTTTATGACTCGTGGACTTCAGCTGGCTCAGGAATTCTGGGAGTTGAAGTCCACGAGTCATAAAAGAGCCAAAGTTGCCTACAAGTGCCCTAAAGACTTCCCAACCCTTAAGAACCCCATAAGGTCCACTGTCCAGGCAGGCAAAATCTGAGCATGAATGGTTGTTACCAGTTGACCTAAGAAAATGTTGCCTCTTTTTTTTTTCATTCCTTCCTTCCTTCCTTTCTTTTTTCCCCCGTTTTTCCAGTATGATGTGTCAGTTCAGTGTAGTAGAAAGTAAAAGCGCCACGTTCCCAACAGAGAAACAGCGGCACCTGCTGGATGACAGTGTGTTAGAATCTCACAGCCCTGTCAGGAACCATCCGCTAAATTCTGTTTTCACCAATGGGGTTTCTCTAGGTAAGTATCCAACATAGTAGCTTGGGAGCTCGGCCTGCCCATCTCTTCTTTCTTTGGAATTCAAAAAGGCATTCAGAATGACCGAACTGGGAAAACTCAGATAGTCTTTAAGTTTGGCAGTTCTCCATTCTCTCAAGCATTGTTTAGAAGGCAGGCGAATACAAGCCACGCTTCTAAGAACGATACTCTTATTGAAGGAGTCCTTCAATACTTAATGAAAAACAGAGAGCTGGCTATAGATTCCTTGTTCAAAAAAAGATCCATCCTCGAAGTCAGGAGAAATTCTAGAAGGCAGAATTAGCAGGCAAGACCGCAAGGGAGCTATCGGTTGGGGGCTTTCATGGCATAGAGCTGGTCTACTGTAGCATGAGTTTCTGATTAAGCTACTTGTGAAGCCTTGAGCGCTATCATTCCATATCATCTAGTCAATCAATCAATCAATCCCGAATGACGGTCCTGTAGAAAATCCCCTAGACGCCACATTAACATTTTAGATTAATTTAGCCTTCGTGAACAGGGGAAAAAAGAGTCGTTACGGTGGCTACCACTGAACAATACATCTAAGCCACAGACAAGCCAAAAATCTAAACTGCTCCATTTGAAAAAGAAAAAAACAACAACCCATTTGATCGTCCAAGGCTCAACTTTAAATTCCCTTCTGGTGAATTTGATGGGATTGCATTGATTTTTAAAGACCCTCATTCCATATTCAGATAATCCTGGGTGCAAGTAGGGCATCTCCTTAATTTTCCATGACACCAAGCTGTCAGTTCATGTTCTCCATCTCATTTAAAGGAAAATCTAAACATCTCTCTGTTGTCTCCTTTTTCTGTGGCCAGAGGGGGGATTTTACTGGAACCCAGATGCAATTGCATTAAACTGCAAATTTATTTATTTTCAATTAGTAGAATTGCCGGAGGACAATCTCCTTCTCTGTGCAAGGCGGCGAAAATAAGGACAACTTTAAAGCTTCCTTAAAATATTTGCACGCGACTGCAACACTTTTGTGGCTTGGAGTTTCATCAGCATGAAACCGAGGATCAGTTCCTAACGCAAATCTTTTGGCTTCTGAAAGGGACATAGACCTGTTTTGAATTGTTGTTTTTTGTCCCCTTCCCCCTGTTTTAAATAGTTGCCTTTTTGTTTTGCAGAAAGCAGCGAAAGTTCAGAATTCAGCGAAGAACCGTCATCGGGACTGGAAAGGTGAGCTTCCCTTTGACTGTGAATCGATGGGACATAACTGCATTTCAATCCAGGCTATTGAAGTCCTGGATAATCTGAATTTGGATCGTGGGTTTATGCAAATCTAGTTATTGGGAAGAAATGCTGTCCCTCTAAACATTTTCTTTATCTGTGGCTGTGAACGTACTGTGAATTTTGCAATAGTTTCTTACGTACATTGCATCCAGCAGTAGACTAGATTGTCAAGTGGCATCAAGCTTTCGAATAAATATTTCCAAATCTGTTTTAACCAGGGTGCACAATTTCTCATTTACTAGCACCAAAGGTAATACTGGATTGTCGATGAGAACCCACAATCTCACTCTGCTTCCTTCTCCATCTGTATCTGGCCTCCGGGTGAATCCCCTTTGAGTAGATTTTTTTTTGTGATTCTAGATTCATTCTTATACCAGAATCTGTTTTCCGCCCTCTAAAATCTTGACTTCTTAACCAGGAGTGACAGGCCTGAATTTGTTGTTGTTGTTGTTTTTAATAAAATACCTTTTCGAATTTGAAGACGAGACATGTGGAGCCAAAGATCTGGATTCAAACCTCAGAGGAGAATTAATTGAACTCGAAATATCTGCCTGGTTTATTTTATTCGGCAAGGAATCAGAACTCTGCATGTTTTATTGGCAACATTTGGGCATTTCCAGCAAGGGAGCTAAGTTGGAGGAGAGATTTTTATAGGTTTACATTATAATTACATATCATTTGTAGATCAGTCTTGATTTCTTCAAAGGGAGGAACGGGTCTGCTTACGATCAAGGCCTTGTTTATTCAGCTATAATAAAACCACTCTTTGCTTTCAATGGGAGGTCCCACCGTTCGTTCTCAGCTCTGGAAACAGATTCTGAACACTCACAGTTGTTCTTCTGATTTTTGGTGTGTTTGTTTCCAGGATATTGTTCTCAGCTTTGCACTTGACAAATTTTCTTTCCCATCCACCCCCCATCCCCCAAAAGCTCTCTTATTCCCAAGCCGCTCTTCAAAGTCCTTGTGAAGCTTGGAAAGTAATTTAAAAAAAAAAAAAGAACGCGATTCACCAAGAAACAGCTTCCTTCATTTCTTATGGACATCTGATTCCAATTCCGAATCGAATGCTCATCTTACTTAGTTCACACCTAAGTGCAAACCGTGAGAATGCAGAACCCGTCATGAAAGCCGTGATTCCGTTGTGTATACGGCCCACCTTTTCTTGTGGGTTTAATTTTGGGGGGCTATTGCGATTTTGCATGCTAACTAAAGAACTTAACGTGTGAATTCGTAAACAGGGGTCGCTTGTACGCCACGCTGGGGCCCAACTGGCGAGTGCCAATTCGGAATTCTCCAAGAAGTCGGAGCTGTGTGTACAGGTACAATTAGGTGGTGGGTCTCTCTCTCTCTCTCTCTCTCTCTGGACAATGGTGCCAAATCTTATTTTCATCCTCTCTTTTCCCCTTGCTAATTCAGACCTTATTTTCAAAAGCATGGTCATTTTTTTCCCCATCTGCGCAGTGACTTCCTTCTCATATTAGCAGGGGTGTGTGTGCCAAGAGTTTAAAAAAAAACACCTGCATTTTTACTCACCTCTGTGCTTTATACTTCCATGCCTCCAGAGAAGTTGGATTGGCTATATTTACATGCAACGTTACACATAAACATGCTGAATAGAAATAAAAAGCCGTTATAGTATTTGAACGAGGCATGGACAGTAAAGAAGAAGTATAGAATCGGTCAGATTTGAGCACATTTAAAACCCTGATGGTTTTGCTCTAGTAGTGGCTCTTAAGTGGATGCTTTGAATAGCAAACAGTTGCCTTGCAGGTCCAAAGAAGCCACATATAAACATCTCTCTAAAGAGTGAAGCTACCTAAATTAAATTTAAACTCTCATGCTTGCAGGAAGTTTAATTTAGATAGATTCATCTTTACTTTTGGATAGGTTTAACTCTCTTGGAGTACAAGATAATCAACTCGGCCTCAGGTTGATCCTTCTCGGATGCTAAATCAGATCGCTAAAATAGGGATCGTGTCCCTGTGATTTACTATTTAGTGACATGATGATGACTTGAAGCTGTGATGCATTTCGGTCAGCAAAAGCCGGATCTAAAACGTCTCGGCACGCAACAGGAAAGCAAAATAACTTGTTTTTCCCCCGGACTTGAGGCAAGGTGGCCTGCCAGGGCCTTACTGAAATGCTTCCCAAATGGGAATGAAGCTCAGAAATATCTGAATTAAGAATAAAAATGATAGACGCTGTAATCATTTATTCTTCCCAACGCAAGTTTGCATATCTTCCTCTATTCCTCTTCTTCTTCATCATCCTCATCATCAACCACATTTAATTCTTTTGCTAAACTCAGTTTTTGGCACGGCTTTGAAAATTCCTCAGTGAGGACTTGTGAACTGCGTGGAGGAGAAAAGCTTTCCCACCTTTGAAAGGCTCCCTCGCTCAAGTCCATTTTCCATTTCAGTCCTTATTTTGTCTACCTTTCGTTCATCACTCTCTTTATCTTTTGAGTAAATATTTTCAAACCTCTTTACCAGTTTTTATACATATTCCTCCCCTTGGCTAGTATGCTAAAAAATATTATTAACTTTTTTTTACTAATACACCCGCATATACGATCTTCTAGCACTGATGATGTTACCTTGTTGGGTTATGAAATGTCTCCAAGGAGACCACCAAGTTCAAAGAGCACTAAGGACCCCAGAGGCACTAAAATACCAGTCTTAGAATACAAAGCAGTTCTTCAAATATAGAAGAAGAAGAAGAAGAAGAAGAAGAAGAAGAAGAAGAAGAAGAAGAAGAAGAAGAAGAAGAAGAGGAAGAAGAGGAAGAAGAAGAAAGAAAGAAAGAAAGAAAGAAACTTTTAGGGTCCCCATTTAAAAGGAGACAGATTGCACAAGCCAAGGGTCCCATCAATATCAATTTTGCATGCCATTGTATGGAAGAATTGTCTAATCTGCGCTGCTCCCACAAACCTCTGTACTTTTCTTGCTTCAGCCCAACAGGTGCCTGCAGCTGCAGATCGGGGGCTTCGGTGGGGGTTGTGACCATGGAAGGCCCCCTGAGAAGAAAGACAATGCTGAAGGAAGGCCGGAAGCCTACGGTAACCACCTCCAGTGTGCTTTGACGGTAGCAAAGCATGGATGCCCACCATTTACCTGAGCAGAAGCGCCCATGGATGCTACGTTTCCATTTCAATCAATGGAGCAATATGGCAGCTCTCCTCTTCTCCTTAATTAAGTTAATGAGACTGGGAAGCTGATTGTGGGTGGAACAAAAAACATCTGTACCAATTAGAGGAGAATTTTTGTAGCTCCGGGTTGAAAAGAGGAGTCCTTTAGCGCTCACTGGGTTGTTTTCTTGCAGACGTTTCATGACCAACTTAGGGGACGTCATCAGTGCTACCATCGCTCTAGCACTGATGATGTTATCTAGTTGGGTAAGGAAACGTCTGCGGGGAACCAGCTAACCTCAAAAGAGCACCAAGGACCCCTCAAACTTATCTGTCCTTGTAATTGTACGTGAGCTGAACTTTGACTGACGTGGAGTAAAGCTCTTTTACTCTTTCTGATAAACAGTGGACTCTCCCCTTTTCCCCATGTTTCCACTCAGAATAAGAGCGATGGGGACAAGGAGACCTTGGACAGCTCTTTCCCAACCTTTTCTAGTGGGGAGCAAACACTAAAAGGGCGTAGAAAAAGCACCGGAAAATAAAACTTTTAACATGCTTTTGACTGTTTAGCCTTTATCCTCGCCGTCTCCTCCATGGCTTCGTTTTGGAAATAGTAAGTCGACCGTCAGTAAGGGGAAAGCTTTATCTTCTACAGTTCTCTTCTTTCCTTTTTCCAGCTCTCTTCCTGGACCAGATATTGGATTACTCTCTCGGGATCCACTCTGATCTATTTCGGAGCCAAGTCCTTGAGGGGGAGCGAGCGGAAGCACGTAAGCTAAACCAGGTTCATGAGATTATGGGGTGCATAAGCTGGCGGGGATCTTGGGTGGCGCTGCTTTCTGCCTCTCCGTGTAGCATCTCTCTATGGGAAATTCCAACTTCCTGGCTCGTGTCCAGAACTGTCTAACTGCTATTTTTGATTTGACTTTCCATTTTGCAGTATAAATCAACTCCCGGAAAAAAAGTTTCCATCGTGGGCTGGATGGTAGCCCTTCCTGATGATCCTGAACATCCAGATATTTTTCAGCTAAACAACCCAGATAAAGGTGAGCATGTTCAAGTGGGACTTTATTGCCGAGCAATAAATAAAGAAGACCACGGTTTTGTATTTTTTTTTAAAGAGTCCTAGAAGTTGAGCTGTGGATGAACCTTTTCATGAAAGTTAAGCCTCAATTAAAAGAGGAATACCTATATAGAATATTTGTAGCCCAGGGTGGAACTGTGGGGTCCTTGGCGCTTTTTGAGCTTGGCTGATAACCAACCAAGCTCAGAGAGAAAAGAAGGACTAGGGGGTGACATGATAGCAGTATTCTAGTATTTGAGGGGGTCAACTTATTCTCCAAAGCCCCTGAAGGCAGGACAAGAAACAAAGGATGGAAAACTAATCAAGGAGAGAAACAACTTAGAACTAAAGAGGAATGTCCTGAAAGTTAGAACAATTAACCAGTGGAACAGCCTGCCTCCAGAAGTTGTGGGTGCTCCATCACTGGAGGTTTTCAAGAAGAGACTGGACAACCATTTGTCTGGAATGGTATAGAGTCTCCTGCTTGAGCAGGGGGTTGGACTGGATGACCTCCAGGGTCCCTTCCAACTCTGTTATTCTGTTATTCTGATTTAAGTTCTGAGATCATAATCATAAAGATGGGGATATATTTTTACATTTTAAGATGCTGTTCTTTATTGCTGTTGTTATTATTAAATCACAAAGACCCTGGTTCTTTTTTTTCTTTTTCTTTTAAACTTTGCAGGCAATGTTTACAAGTTCCAGACTGGCTCCAGGTTTCACGCAATATTGTGGCACAAGCATTTGGATGATGCCTGCAGAAGCAACAGGCCTCAGGTAAGGCCATCTTCTACCTGTTTTAGTTTGTAAGCGAAACAGTGGAGAGGTGTTAATTATTAACTGGGTTGAGCGTGTCTACAAAACGTCCTGAGAAATTTTTTACCCAGGTTCATTTGTTCCCATTTCCCAAGGTTGTTAGTGAAGGTCAATCTCTACCCAGAAGTAGGGGAAAAAACGAGAAAGAGAATCAAAAACATTGTGGTGTCTCCTGGATGTAGGTGAAGCCCAGGAGATAAGTCCAGGAGATACATGATGTAAACTTTGGATTCTTCACCTTTAATTAGATATGTTGTTGTGTTGCCCTATTATTGATCAATTTCTTCCCTTTCCGAATAACAAATTTTGGAATTAAGCTGTTTCTCTTTTTTAATTCTACTCTTTTTTTAATGTAAAGAGTGGACAAAACTGTAATAAATAGATTTGATTTTACTTGACTTCTACTTGACATGAGTTGACTTTAATTGATTTTCAGTTGACTTAACTTTGACTTGACTTGACTTTGACTTAACTTTGACTTCACTTGATTTGACTTTGGCTTGACTTAACTTTGACTTGATGTGACTTCGACTTGACTTGAGGAGGCTTCTTGCAAGGATCTTCCATCCGTGGACCATTTATCCAGAATTTTTCATTGATGGTTTTTGCTTGCTCTTCAGGTACCTGCCAACCTTATGTCCTTTGAGTAACCGGCTCCGGTGTGCGGTATAACGTCCAGTGCCAAACTGCAAGATGGGAAGATGGGTTCCTGTTGAAGCAAGGAGGAAAGAGACTTCAGAGCAAACCAGCTCTCTCCCACAGCGACTTCAGCACTTTTCTACATAACTTGAAAGTAATTATGACACAGCTTCTAGAAACGGAAACACGAATGTCATCCTTGGGACAGGATCTAACTTACTGCACTGATGAAAGAGAGAGAACTTAGAGATGCAGCCTGCCCCATCACAGGATACTTGGGTCCTTAACTCTAGCCGTGGGGGTCCCAGACAGCTGTGGATTTTTTGTCCTGCCACAAACTGTATCTGTCACATCTCTGCAGATTTTTTTTCCTTTTTTTTTAACTGCTCTTTTTACAGCCAAGCTGCTTTATGTGACTCAAGAACTTTTAGCCCATGTTGGGTTTACAGTTATTTCTAATGCACAAAACAACAAACGTTTGACAGTGTTAACTTGCTGCAGAGTGTCAATTAGAATAGAACGTTGTGAGACGACAACATTTTTATAACCTTAAGTGCACTGAGCTGCTTTGGCTGCCTCAGATTTTTTTGTATCAAACGTAGGGACGCCACCAACGTCCTGACTGAAGCTATTTGGGAAATGTGTATTTTGGCACAAGAGAAAGAAAAAAAAACAACAAATCACCTGTAATTTTTTCTGTTTGTATCTCATGATTAATTGTGCTGTATTTTGTGGTGGATGTTTTTTTTGTTTTGTTTTGTTTTTTTATTAATTGGAGGTACCCCTAGCAACGAAGGGACTAATTGCTGCTGAAATGCACGCCATCTTAAGGCTCCTTCTGGATGACTTCATTCCCCAAGTAAAGATCTGCCTTAAATTGCGTGGTGTGGGGGCTAAGGGGCTGCTGTTCATCCAATATGTCCCGTAGCCATGCAAGCTTCTCCTACGTCTCTCCCAGGGCTGGTTTTAGAACTTCCCAATTCCAGAGAGCATTTGTTGAGGGAAAAAGTATTGATATGGACTCCAGTTTCTCCTAAAAGGGGGAAGCATTTCACCAAACACCAGTCCCTTCTAACTCAGCCAGAAAGTCAGTGTTCTTTTAAGCAAGGTAGAATAGCCAAAATGTCTTCGTCTCTTGATTCCCCAACCCGGCCTTTCAATGAAGCCTTGAGCTGCTTCGTGGCGTCTTGGATGCAGCTAAACAAGCCAGCTTCTTCATACAGATGTGGCTGGCCAGCGGTCATTTTGGATGAACAGCCCTCTGCGCTTGAAAAACCTGCCTGCTCTCGGGGGCATGCTGGCTACCCATCTGGCTATATCTTGGTTGTCTTCTAAGCCATGTTTACTTTAAATGTATGCTCAATGTCTCCACCGTTAATGATTGTAATGCTTTTTTAAGTGTCATGCCGTACTGTCTGTCTCCTGTTCCTCGGAGCGAAGGAAGGTAAAGAAAAACTCTTGGATTTGGACAGGAAATGGGGAAAAAGGAAAACCACATCTCAGCCCCCGGTATTTTCCTTCTCTTATTCTCATGATGAAATTGTTGGAAAACTGTGCAGCCAGTTGTGGGGTGACAAGTTAGGTAGTTGCTGTAGAATTTCAGAATGGGCAAAGAGGTAGGTTTTTTCTGGTTGATCATTCCGACGTAGCATCTGCCATTCTTGCTTAAAAATGGCTTTCTCTTACCAGTTGCATAATGGCAATTTAAAAAAACCTGGCTTCCAACGCAATTAACCCAGCTAGGGAATTAACTGAGCCAATTGCATTAAGACCACCCTCCCCTTTTACAAGAGTGCTAAATTTCAACATCTTCCTTTATTTTTAAAACAACGTGCCGAAAAGACATGGAAACATCTCCTGGGAAGCAGTCCAGCCAACCAGAATCTTTTCTCTATTATTAAAAAGATGACTGGCAACAAAAGGGAATCCTAATTTTTATAACAGAGGGATGAGACTGTTAGCAAGCTGCTGGAAAGGTGTGGCAATCGCATTCAAGAAGAAAAAAGAATCGGTACCAAAAACGGAAGCTGTTGCTTAGAGGGTAAAACACAGGCCGTTAAAAATCAGGTTTTTAATTGCCCAGAATGAATTCCTACTTACACCAAGGAGTGGACTAGTGCAATGAAATTAACCTTCCCATCCCTCTTTTAGAATAAGCACTCTGGTCTGACATGGTAATGAACAATGAAAGTTAAGTGATTAATGGCATCAGAGTCCAAGCCAGATGAAATCTTTTAGAAAAGGACGCGAAAGCAGTTCCTGTATTCATCCCCAATCACACAAAGGCTAAGCAAGTTTATGAAATTGTAATTTGAGTTAGTCTGACTTCTGGACAGAGAGTTCAGGATTTGATTGTCAAATGCTTTCAGAACAAAAATTTGGTTATTGGTTTACTGGGTGAGAAAGGGGGGGGTAACCCACTCTGAAAAATGTCTGTTCTCACCAACCTCCCATCATTTTATTTCCTCCCTTCCTGTCAAAAGACTGGAAATCACCTGGTTTTTTTATGACTTTGGGAAACGTGTGTTACGGCATGTCCAAGTAGAGGCGCCTGTCCGTGTGTAACGAAAGAAATGTGCAGGTGTTTGCAAAGAGAATGCCCAAATCTTGAAAGTCCCTCTGCAAATCTGCATTTAGAATGTAGGAGATTGTTGTCACTTAAATTTCTTTTCTTTTTTAAGAACAAAAAATAGAACCAGTATTGCAAAGGCCTGCCACAGTTTTTTTTTTTTTTTACTTTGGTAGAGCTATAAGCACTGTAGCCCAAAACCCCGGGAAAAAATGTAGAGTAATGATTTGCGTAATGATGGAGCTTCATTCAGCAATACAAGTAGCTTTGCTGCAAGTTGGTTTGAAAAGATGAAATAAATGAGTAATAGAACAGTGTCCTTCTCCTCCTCCTCCTCCTCCTCCTCCTTCCTTCCTTCCTTCCTTCCTTCCTTCCTTCTCCAGGTTTAAATGGTTAATTGTCCTATGAAAAGCATGAGGATTCTATTTAGCTGGTTTTTTTGTTTTTGTTTTAATTTTTGGTGCATCTTTGACTGTGAATTTAAGGGGTGCATATCAGTAACTGTTTAAAATAGGGTCTCCGCCAGAGAAGACCAGAGCCCCACACCCCTTCTGAGGGTGTTACGGACGTTCTCGTACGCCCGGTCCAACAATGGCAGGGCCAAAGCTCAGTAAATGAAGTTTTCAACTTTGAAAATGGCCTTCAGAGCTGGCATGGATGAGACGGTTCCAGGGAGCACCACAAGATGGGAAGGGCAGGTTGTGAGGTCAACTGGAGCTGTGCCGTACATCCAATGTAAACACAAAAAGACACTTTGGAGCATCCCGTTCACATCGTACCTCCGTGAAGCTCCTTCAACTGGGTTTGTCTTCTTCGCAGTCCAGCGAGGTGAAATAGCTCCAGACGAAGATGCCTTTGGTTGAAGGAGCACAGAACGGTGTACATGTGAACATGTCCATGCTCCAAAGAAGGTTTTTTGCCTTTGAAGCCTTGCCCTGTCCATCCCAGAGTAGGTCGCTCTGTGGAACTGACCACCGTTTAACCATTATTTTCTTTTTTTAATTTTGCAAATATGGTCCCCGTCGATTTCCACAATGACAATTTGTGTAGCTGTATCGAGGCAACGTTATTTATTCTTAAATTTATTCGCTTGTGTAAACTTAGTGCCAAAATGCATGGTGGATTGGTTTTTGCTTTTGTTTTTTTTCCACGTAGCACTCGATGGAAGCAGAAACAATAGTATCTGATCTTCAGCCGTTTTCATCTTTGTGGTTTAAACCCATTTCTAGACTTTGCTTTTGTTTAGTTTTCTCTTTGGTGAGACCCGTTGCACAATTTTAATTTTTTCACCTCCCTTTTTAGCCATATTTCCAGTGGTCCACTGCATGGCGTTTTATTGTACAGGCCTCTCATCTCTCACTCCTTGTGAATTGTCCCCCTTCCAGATGAACTACTGAAGTTTTCACCCTCCTGTGGAAGTCTTTTTTAAGTTCTGTTTATTTTTTTTTTCTTATTTGGCAAAGTATTTTGTTACCTCAGTCTTCTATCGAGTTGCTGTATTTTTCAGCTTGTTACATTGATGACAATAACTGTTTCACTAATTAAAACAAAAACTTTAATGTACAAAATAAAAAGGCAACTTTTTTTGTCTCTTCTTTGTTGTGATCATGGAAGATAAATACACTTGGTGTGCAATCATAAAGCTATACACTATAGGTAAGCCTCACTTTACGACCGTTAATGCTGGTTCCCAGGCTCCCAGGGCTGGTTATGTTGGCCTCTATCTGATTCTTCAATCAAAGTTCTGATTTCAACACTCAACCTGGAACGGTGCAGGGACCAGGGCATCCGGTCCCTACATAAAGCCTATTGCAAAGCCTGCGTCCCGAGTTGGTTCTGGCTACAACATTACGTCACCCTGGCACACTGCCAGGGAAAAAGGCTCTTTGCAAATTTTCTAGTTAGAAAAGAGTAAGGTCGACGTAAGGCTGCATCCTGATGACTTTGCCCCCAAACTGACCAACCTAGTCTGTCCTATCTTGGGAAATCCTGACTTTTTTGCCCTCTTTGGGCTAAGGAAATATTAGGGCCCGACTTTTGGCCCACTTTGGGGGTTAGAAAAGAGTAAGGCTAACGTAAGGCTGCATTCAATGGGATTTTAAGGTTATTATTCTGCATCTTTATTATGAGAAGCCCCGTTATTTGTATTAATAGAACAACGGGAGGCCCAGGGCCTGCAAAACAGGCACAGGTGTAGGCAAAAAGGGCCTTTGCAATTGTTCTAGTTAAGAAAATTTGCATTCCGATGACTTTGATCCACACAGCCTGTCCTATCTTGGGAAACCCTGGCTTTTTCGCCCTCTTTGGGGTAACGTTTATTTCCTCGTGTGCCTGCTATCCCTGCCTTGACCACGGGAGGGCGATGTTTTCTGTCCCATACGATTGGCACCGAGGCCATCATCGGCCTTTTTAACTCGGTTTAAGGCTTTTGGAAACGGGTTTCCTGCTTCCGTGCCTGTTCTGCAGCCCCGTCGCTCTGGTATGATTAACCGGGGGTATGCATTTGCCCGTGGCAGGTAGTCCTGCAGCCCTGCTCAGCCAAGCGTAGCGGCGGAGGGAACGAGCCAGCACAGGCAAGGACTTACTGGTAAGAGAGCCGCCTAGAGCGGCAGAGTGAGGCAAAGACGCCGGGCTCACTTCCGGTTGACCCGGAAGAGAAACGAGGAGGCGGTGCGGAGACAGCAGCAGCCTTGGGAACACGGTCAGGCAAGCAAGGCAGCAAGCAAGGATGCATGCCGGCAACCTTTGAGCCGCTCTACAACTGCTGACATCCGTGCCCGCGGCAGCAAGCAACAGGCAAGAGGTAAGGCCCTGGGGAGGGAGGGAGAGTGGAAGGATTCTTACGTGCTTTTGGGACTCGGAAGTTCTGGGCTTTGTGCAAGGTGGGCTTTGCGTGCTTAAGGAGTGTTTGGCAGTTTCTGTTGGGCTGGTGGTGTTAGCTTCTGTCGCTCTGCTATTGTGAGCTGTTAGTTTTGCTGCAAGGGGTTTTGCAGTATTTTTCTCCCGAATGGCTTTTGCCTGGAGCATTCCTTTCCTTATGAATGGAGCCATTTGGGGAGGCTGCCTTAGCGGGCAGCAAGTACTTGTTTACGGGTTTTTTTTTTCTTCCTTAAGTGCCAGCTGGTAGCCAGTCGGCCAATTCTTAAAGGGGAATGTGCCTTTTTAAGCTAGTTCCCTCAATGGCTTCTCTTTTCTGTCTCTGGAGGCTTTTCCTTGTTTGATGAATATATGGAAGAGGGAAAATATTGGGGGGGGGTATTATTCTGCATCTTTATGAGCCTGTAGGTGGCTATGTGATTTTTTTCCCCCAAAAATAAAATAAAAAAATTGTGACTGTTTTCAGTCCGGCTTCCCACCAGCAAAGTTCAGTGGGAGAAGCCGGGTTGGCTTAAGGATGACATGAGTCATTCACAACTGCAGTGAGTCGCTTAACAATTCTGGCAAAAAAGGGGTCATAAAATGGGACACCTTGCTTAACAGTGGGAATTGTTTAATTTGTGATCGTAACTCCAGGACTATTGGTAGAAGTTGAAGCTTATTGAGTGCCTGTTGGAAGAAATCTAAGCCTGTTTCCTTTCTTCTGGCTAAGATCACTTCTGAACAGATACTTGCTTAGGCTGGGTTGTTGTCCTTGTGTGTTTTTTGAGAATTGTGACTTTTCTTCTCTTCCCTTGCAGACCAAGAAATATGCAGATGTCATTATCCCTCAAGGCGTGGATAATACGGGTAAGAATTTTAAAATTTATAGAGAGAGGGGAGGGGGATTATCCAATCCAGGGGTCTTCAAACTTGCCCTTTTATGACTTGTGGACTTCAACACCCAGAATTCTTCAGCCAGGCATGCTGGCTGAGGAATTCTTGGAGTTGAAGTCCACAAGTCATAAAATGGCCAAGTTTGAAGACCCCTGCTATAGACTTTAAGAGGAGTGGACTTCAACTCCCAGAATTCCTCAGCCAGGCACAAGTCCACAAGTTATCAAAGGGCCAAGTTTGAAGACCCCTGGTCTTTAACTCCCACAATTCCTCAGCCAAGGAATTCTGGGAGTTGAAGTCCACAAGTCATAAAAGGGCCAGGTTTGAAGACCCGTGCCATAGATAATGAAGGAAAGAGTATTCTTAACTTTTTTTAATTGTACGTTTTCTTTCACCAGTAATCAGTAAATTCCTGGATAGGCTTTGCCCTCTGGAACTGCTTTTTTTTTTTTTTTTTTTACAAATTATCTTTGAGACACTTTCCAGAGTCTCAACAAAATCCAAATCCTGCAGGTACTTTTAAACGCTGGGCAAAAATTGCTGGGCCACACATCCTTTTTTAAAACGTTGCATGTGGCTTTAAAATGTTACAGCAGCTGAATTCTTAAGAATGAGCTCAGCAGCCAAAGGTGGGGCAGGCTTCTCTTTGAAATGCAAAAAGTTTGGGGCGTTTTTTTTAATATAGATTACTTTTTTTATAGTTTCTCTCTCTCTCCAAATGTATTCATCGGCTGTGCTGGCCAAGTGGGTTTTTGTTAATTTATTTCACAGTTGGCCCTTCATAAACCTCAGCTAGGCTTTTAAAATTCCAAAGGCGGCGGGGAAACTAGCATTTAGTAAGGTAAGTGCAGAAATGGAGTTCAAAGGAGGCAGGTGGTGGGCCTCATTGCACGAGGAGGTTGAAATACAAGTGTGGGGGGGGGAAATCCTGTGCTCCTTTTTCCCTTCTGCTAGTGAGTCACTGATAGATAGATCCATTATACTTTCAACGGAGCCACGGACTTTAATTTGGTGGGTTAGAAACAGAATCTAACAGAACAAGAGATTCAGGCTAGAAATGAGGTGAGAACAGTCAACCCGTGGAACAGAAGTTGCCCTCAGAGGTTGTGGGAGCTTCATCACTGGAATCTTTCAAGAAGAGACTGGACTGCCATCTGTCAGTAATGGGGTAGGGTCTCCTGCTTGGGTGGGTGGGGGTTGGACTAGATGACCTACAAGGTCCCTTCCAACTCTGTTATTCTGTGCTTATCTGGGGGCCAGATAAGTGTTAACAGAATCAGAGAGTTGGAAGGGACCTTGGAGGTCTTCAAGCTGGTCCCCTTTGATGACTTATGGACTTCAACTCCCAGAATTCCTCAGCTAGGCACGCTGGCTGAGGAATTCTGGGAGTTGAAGTTCACAAGTCATCAAAGGACCAAGATTGAAGACCCCTGGTCTAAATTTTTTTTTTTAAAAGCTGGCAACTTTAAGATGGGTGGACTTCAACTCCCAGAATTCTTCAGCCAGGCACACGGGCTGAGGAATTCTGGGAGTTGAAGTCCACAAGTCATCAAAGGGCCAAGTTGGAAGACCCCCGTCCTATAACATGTCAGATAAATGGTTATCCATGTCTCCTTAAAAACTTCTGGAAGCAGGTTGTTTCATTGATTAATTGTTCTCACTGTCAGAAAAATTCTCCTTAGTTCTAGTTTGCTTCTCTCCTTGGTGAGTTTCCATCCGTTGCTTCTTGTCCTGCCTTCTTGTTCTGCTTTGGAGAACAGCTTGACTCCCTCTTCTTTGGGGCAGCCCCTGAGATATTAGAAGACTGCTATTTGGTCACCCCTAGTCCTTATCTTTATTGGACTAGACATACTGGAACAAATCTAGTGTGTTTCAGGTAAAAATTAAAGCTGGCTTGCCTGCCTTTTCAAATCTCTAATTTGTCTCTTCTCTTTATTACAGGAGAATCTACACAAAGGCTATACGACGATGAGGGGAAGGCTTCCTGTTAACAGTTTCCTGTGTTTGAATTGCAAATGGGAAAACAGCGATCACGACTGAAAGATTACACCACTTGGACTGATGCCAGGATGACAAGAAGGCCATCTTACCTTCCTGGTCTTCACCGTTGACACGCAACAATCTCCATCGTCATAGTTGCAAAAGGCTCGGTTGTTGACCGGATCACAATAATTGTCTCCCCCAAAAGGCTGGAAAAGAAAAGAAAAAAACAAAAAGATGAGGACAATGTCTACTTGCTTGTTAAGTGAACATTGGGAATCGGCTACAATTGCCGGCCGTGAAGACTCTGGAGAATGAGAAGGAAGAGAAACGAATCTTATTAGTGGACAATCCAGAACTGTTCCAGTTAAGCTGCCTAGAGCAGGGGTCTTCAAACTCGGCTCTTGCATGACTTGTGTACTTGTACGTGAGCTTGGCTGAGGAATTCTGGGAGTTAAAGTCCACAGTCATAAAAGGGACAAGTTTGAAGACCCCTGGTATAGTTTCCTGCCTAGAACAGGGGTCTTCAAACTTGGCCCTTTCATAATTGTGGATTTCAACTCCCAGAATTCCTCCCTCCTTTAATTCATTCCTTTCTTCCTTCCCTCCCTTCCTCTTTTTTCTTCTTTTCTTTCCTCCCTTATCCTTTTTTATTTTTTCCTCCCTCAGTCTCTTTCCTTCCTTCCTTCTCTCTCTCATTCTATCTATCTTTCTTTTCCTTCCTTCCTTCCATCTCTTTTTTCTTCCTTTCTTTCTTTTCCTTTCTCTTTTTCTTTCTTTCTTCCTTCCTTCCTTCCTTTTTTCTTTTCCTTTCTGTCTTTTCGTTCCTTCCTTTCATCTATCTATTTCTTTTTCTGATTT